TATTAATATCTCTTATTTTATTTTAAAATTTGATATTTAATTTATAAAAATATATATTTATAATGATAAATTTAAAATAATATATAAAAAATTTTAATATTTAATAATATTATTTCAATAATAAAATTGATATGGATATCGACATGATATTCACTCTCTTAATTGCGCACCAAATTGTCTCGTAGCCGTGTTTAAATGATTACCGTTCGTATTTTGGATTTATTATTAAAAAGATTCCTGGGATGTGGGACATTGGTGGGTGTGGAAATTTATTTAGATGCAGTGTGCCATTCAGCTGATGTAAATATTCAGGAAAATGATGGATGCACACCTGAATTTTACATTTAGGAGTGCATCCTCATACAAACAAAAAAAATACCTATCATCCGGTCTATTTTTTTTTTTTATGTGGGGGTGCACAAAATGTTCAGCGCCGAGTGGTTAGAAGTATCGGTACGTATGACAATTTAAAAGCTTACTGATTATCATTTGTATTTAGAATTTATTAGAAAAGTGTCCTGGCATGTGGGATATTGATGGGTGTAGAAATTTATTTAGGTACAATGTGCCATTCAGATGATGTAAGAAGAGTATGGCTTGTTAATAATATTAATTTTTTTTTTGCATTTAAAAAAATAAAAAAAATCTAAAGATTTAAAGGCCTAAATACAAATTTATTTAGTTTTAAGACCAAATAAACAATCTATATCAAAATTGAAGTTTAACCCAATAACAATGAACATTTCTATATATGAAAATTTTCTTCCTAAATTAATCTTATATGTGTCATTAAAACAGTGGTGCATATAGGGGGCAAATTGGGCCCAGGCCCTCCCAAAAATATTGAAAAAAAAAATTATGTTAAAATTTAAAATTAAAAACATTTAGTATATTTATTTGTCCCTCTTGGAAAGTTAAATAAAATATATTTAGTAAAGGAGAATAAAAGTTGTAGAGCCTGGCTTGCCACTATATTTAGTTTTTTGAGGTAGGTAACTCAACTTAATTACTTGTTTTTCTTCATCCATCTAAAGTATTCTTTAATTAACATTATATTCTTTAACTTCTAAACTTGACGTACAATAATATAATATGTTTTCAATTATTATTTTGGATAAAAGAGTTTCTTTTTAATTGAGTTCTTAAATTCTTTTATAAATTGTAACTTTCAAGTAATGTACTAATGTTTTTGAAAAATCAAGAATTTTATTATTCTATTTTATTATTTTTGGATAAATTATTATTTATAATTTGTAATTATTGTCTTGTGGTAAAGAATTATAGTTTAATTGCTAAATTATTTTTGAGTTTTGACTTAGGCTTTATTTAT